TTAATCAAAAATATGTATTGAAGTAAAATCTTTTCATTTCATCTTTCTGTCAATGCTCAAATTGGTCGAAATATGATTCTTTGTTTAGGAGGTAACTTATTCAACTGCTATTATAGAAATCATAATCAACAGATTTTCTCATTTCATCGTTATTTCAAGCAAAATTAGATGATTTATCAAATAGATTGCTATCAAATCAAGATGCACAACATTCCATAGTATTATAACAACATATCCTGTTGATTGTATTCGTTGTTGAAATATATTTTCCCATGGAAAATCATTTTTAAAAAAACCTAAGAAGCTTTTCGAAAAAAATTCTATATGCCGAAATATTTAGTGACTTGTTAATATCTCCTGATTCAATTTATTTTCGTTAATAAGAACGCTAATGCAAAGATAAAGTTGTTAGCACAAAAACAAATCTCTTCTCTGTTCTTATATAAGTGACGATCTATTATCATTTGAATTATGAATCATTGATGAAGTCAATCCTTTTATTTCCATCTGATAAAAATGTTAGCTTTTGATTAACATACAGAATATATTCATAAAAATTCTAATTTCCATGTTCATTCATTTGTAATCGATGCTTGAGAGGTTTCTTTATTCGAGTTCATTGATAATATGCAGCTCATAAATAATGGAACAGTTTGATTTCCTGTTTCTGACGAGCGGAAATGCTATTCAACGACACCATTCTTAACTCATTCATTAAAAAACTTTTCACTCTATAAAAATGTGGACTTCCTTTTTTTTTAAATAAGTTTTTCTTGTCGACGAAAAATTGGAAAGATTAACGGTAATTTCACTGTCCAACTGCGATCTCCTGTTGTTTTCTGCAGCCATCTAACGATGTGTGCAAGCTTGTATTCATTAAGTTCGATGCTAAGTGTAAAGTATTTAACATCAACAGATAGTGAATTTTGTGCTCTATACTCTAAAGATCTTCTCAAGGCTTCTAATGATGTCGTTCCAATACAAAAGGTTTGGAATTAACACCAGATGATTTTTTATTTCGAATACGCTTTTCAAAACTCGTACTTTCAAAAGTTAGCATGCTCTATGAACAGTTTATCATTATATCATTTGATGGAGAATTTTATTCTGAACAAAATGATATAACATTTAAACCGAGTAACGAAAGTCTTTATATTGTTCCGAATTGGAAACAAACAATGGCATTGAACTGTCAAAAAGAATCTTTTGCTCGAAAACTTGTTTTTCCAATTGTTTTTTTCTAGAATTGTAAAATATTGTGAGATGCAGTATTTGACGACATATCATATAATATATTTCGAATTTCGGTGGAACTGTCATTTAAATATATTCTTAATAATGATTTTATTTTCGGACAGTCTCCATTCAATGGGTGAATGATTTTTCAATCTTTTCGATTTCTCTACGATAGGAGAAACTTATTTGAAGAGCAAATTGTACAGTTTTGTAGAGCGAAAAATTTTCAATTGACTGAGCTTAGAATGACGTCTTTAAACTGTGTTGTTGTCTTCAAAAAAAAAAGAAAATCAAAGTGTTTCATTCTTTATGAGCCACCGTTTACAATATTTTTTAATTAAAATCATGAAATAAATCTGATCTTTCTGAATGATTTTAACACTTTCGAATGTTTTCAATAAACATTTTATTCAATTCAAATAAAGCAAAACATTATATGAAAATTAATAGTACTAATCGTCTAACCATGGTATTGATTAAAATCGACGAATTACATAGAATATACCTCTTGATAACTACGATACAAAAGAAAAAGAAAATAAAATCATGTATGCAGCTCGTTCTTTTTTCTTTATTGGTAAAGAAGAAAAACAAGATTATTCAAACAAAAGGTGACTCACTAGAAGATTAATTTAGATAAGATGATATAAAAGACAAAAAAAAATAGCAAATTTTATCTTTACAACAAAGATATTTTCTTTTTTCTAGAGTATCTGATTTATATTTGATCTATGATTTCATTATAAATATAAATAATCCTGAAGTTATAATCAATTATAAATATGGCTATACATAAATACAAATAAACACACACATACGCAATGCATTAGACAAATAAACAATTTATGTCAACAAAATGTCTCTTATAAAATTTTTTTATGAAAACATTGATCATGATCATAATGCATAAATATTCAAATAAGTTCATTATACATTCCTTGAGCTTTGACTATGAATGACAATTTTACTATATAATCATTTTCTATTGTCAAAACATATTACTAGTTATTTTTTTAATGGAATATTTCCTAGATGACCTTGAAAAAAAAAATCTTCGATATCAAATTATGTAATTTGATATGTCGAAGAGCAATTAAAACATATGAAACAATATTTAAGATATTCAATATTTTTAGACTAAAAAAAATAATGATTTTCTTAGATTTACTAAGTCTTTCGGTGAATATTTTATGCCTTATACAAAAATTACCACAAATAATTCGTATTTATAAAACAAAAAATGTTGCTAGTATTTCAATATCATCTGTATTACTTGAAGAAACAGCGTAAAAAAATAAACATAATGAAATATTTTTTTGTCTAAATTTCATTTACTTTAGTTATACATTAGTTTTAACTTACAATCTTTGGAGAAATTATCCATTATCAGCATTTTTTGAATATATATTTCTTTTTATACAAGGTAAGAAATTTCTTTTGTTAAACAGTTGTGATGTAAAATAATTAGTTTAGATATACTTCTCCTATGGGCATTGGCAAAATATTCAACAAAAGATAAAGATAAACAAACTGACGAATCAAAGCCTTTATATGGAATATTAATGTGAATACAAAAATAATTATTTATAATCAAATATAATTATATATTATTTATTTTTTAATAGTTTTTGTCTTTATCTAGTAGCGAGTTTGTTGAATCTTCTACCAAACAAATGGATGAGTATATGTACTGTAAGAAATTCTATTTTGATTTGGAAATAAATTTTAGTTTTTTCTCTTTAAATATTTTTTACTACAGATGTTTGTTATTCCTATTGGTGCATCATCAAAAATAATTCAATTGCGAACAATTCTTTCAAATAAAAGTGCTGGTCAAGTTAGTCGAATTGGTTGGGTAATCGCATCGTACAGTAATTGTGGTATGATATATTAACCTTTATTTATCTATTTGTTTTTATTTTTATCTTCTAAATTTAATTTAATTTAGCTCGTATAATTACAAATCTTATTCAAACAAAAGATATGAATATGGTGATAAATTTATCAATTAGTTTCATTCTTAATACTTCAATTGTAATTGCTTGTACGATTTATTCCAATGATTCTGTATCAAAACTGACAGATAAAAGAAAGACAAAAACAACATAAATACAATACATATGAAGACGAAAACAACATATATAATGCTTAATTTTAATGAATGATACCATATAATAAATGATAAAACCTATCAAAGAAAACATAAACAACAATTTGATACATGATTTGGGTCATCCGTTTTCAAATATTCAAAAAATAATTGTTTAGCTACATCTTCTTCAAGTTTATCTTGCTTAGTTATTTGATGAAAAGATTTTTCTGCTGCTTTTTCATCAACACCGAAAAATTGACAAGTTTTAAGCCATTCATCAATTGCTATATAACCATCATGATTAAGATCAAGCATATTAAATGTTGTATTTATACGTTGAGATATATGTTCTAATACTTCCGGATCTGTATCAGTTTTACGTAATTCATTAGCAAGATTTTCATGAAAATTAAGCCATTCTTCTGAAAAAAAAAATATATTTTTTGTTTTTTAAACAAAAAAAAAATAAGTTATTGAAAAATTTCACCTAATGTTACTTTTCCATCTTGATTAGCATCAGCTTTCATGATTTCTTGACAAAGAGTCTTTCTTGCATTTGCATATTCTTCACGTCGTTTTATGTCATCTTGTCCAACAAGTGCTGAAAGTTTATCAGCAAGAATTTCAAAATCAATTGGAGTTATAAAACCATCTCTATCAGCATCTAGAAAACAACAAAAAAAATAAGAATACTTAACACATAATTAATATAGATATTATTTATTGGAACATATCTACCATAGAGATGGAATAAATGTTTCATTTTCTCATGCCAAAATTTTTTTGTTTCATCTGTCTAAATTAAATTAAGAGAGAAGAATGTTTGGAAAACATGACTTCAGTCATCAAGATCTATTATTTACCATTGTGTCGTTGTTAAAGTACAGAACGCGCGCTGAAATACTCGATGTGGTTTAACGTTGATGCAATTCTATAGTCTAATGTTTAGAGATGGAGACGTTTTTTTCTCCCTCGAGAATCTTCGCTCTATCTCTCAGAATAAATTATCTACTCGACGTGCGGAAATGGCGGTGATGTTGTTGTTATTTCATTCTGTCCTAGTTTTGAGTCGTTTCCACTTCGCACATAAACAATATAGCGTACGATCGAAGAAATGCTCGAGAATGTCTAGAACTGAGAAATAATTCATAGAATGTACACAAATCTTTATCGTTTCTTTTTACACGATAAACGTGAATTAAATAGAAAAAGAATAAGCAATCTATGACGCACTTCATTGAAGAACAAATCATTTACATGACAACAACGTTCTGATTGTTTCAATGACACTAACAATAATAATGATAAAAATGGATATTCCAAAATTGGTAACAACAAAGCTATCTAAGAACGAGACAAAAAAAGGCCATATGTATCCATATCTTCGAGTAATGTAATGCGTCCTCAATGTGCGCATACAGATATATATATATATATATATAACAGTAGTAGATACAACGACTGAAAGTCTGACAAAAATTAAACAAATCTACATAATTTCTTTAGTATTATTATATATTATTGATTGACATTGTCGTGGATGCCATAAAATGTTTTGTGTAAGTGATAATCAAATCGGTAAGAGTGAATCAAAGAAATTCAAATTAGAGATTTTCTTTTTATTTCATTGGAAACAAAAACAACAAAAATTTATTCTTTTTGATAAATAATACTATAAAAAAAACTTCAAAGAAATTCGATAAATAATCCATATGATAATAATAAGAAATATAAAAAGACTGAGTGCAACACGTCTATAAATAATTCTATATTCTATTAATTGTTCATTCATATGAAAATTGTTTTCTAATGAATTGTTAAAAACGATATTATCATATTGAATACCTTTTTTTTCTAATATTCTTGTACATAATAGAAGTTCATCAAAATTAAGCAATGTCAATGCACATAATGTTTGAGCTATTCGATGTTTTGTTAATATTATTTTTTCTGTATAATGTTTTGCTAATATAAAACGTTTAAAATAAAAAGAATTTGTTCGTATTAAATAAATCAGTTGAAATAAATTTTCTGATGTAAGTTCTTTCGATTGATGATACCATGATGAAAATCGATAAGCAAGCGTCCATTGATCTTTTTGTGTACGTTCCGCTTCAATTACATTTAACGAATATTGTTCATAATCAGTTAATATAAGTGATTTTCTATCATATGAATATTTTCGAATTGATGGTTGACTTAAATAACCAATAGGACTAATAGGTGGATGTCCAATAACACCCATTGTTGTATTTAACGATGTATAAACACGAAATACATCTTGATGACGATGACCACTTAAACACATTATTATATTTGATGAATATTTATTAATTATAGATAAAAGTTTTTGTTCATATTTTATATCGTAAAATTTATATAATAAATTTTCATTTATACCAAATGGTACATGAGCTAAAAGTAATATACGATCATTGAGATTCTGTGCATCAAACATTGTTTTATTAAACCACCTGAAAATTAAATATATTCATTCGATAAAACATAAAATACAATAGTAAATGCTTTGAAAAAAAAATATTGAAAGTTGTTTTCAACACAAAAAAAAACAAGGACCAGCAGATTTTAGCAATTTACAACACTTCGGGCAATGCATTAGATTCGCTCAATATTATAAAAATAAATTAGTTCTAATTTAGAACGGCTATTTTCCTTAATAGAGTCGTTGTACTTCTGATAAGAGTTTCTTTTTTTGTAACAATTCTTTATTAATATAGATATCAAATGAATCGACTGATAATAACACAAGTTCTTTTGATAATATTGTTGTTTCTTTTACTTCTATTCTAATAAATCTCGAATTCGGATGCCTTGTTGACATTTTCCGTTGTCTTGTAATTATCATGAGATACTATTATTAGCTTTTATTTTATTAGAATAAAGGCAAATACAATAGTAGAAAGATATAATTTAAAGAAATAATCAATTTTTATTGTGCGAAAAATAGCAAATCTCCAGGGTTTATGAATCTTCAAAAGTAAATCATACGATGATTTTCTCGTTGATTACTTCTTAACAACACACTAATGTCATATACTTAGGAAATAAAGAATGCAGAAAATACATCCGACCTTTTTAGATATCACACGATTTTTCATTTGCTAGGCTTTGTTATTTTAAGCAAACAAAAAAAAAACCAATCAAGCTGAATAAAAGCGTTTTGAATTTCATTTTAGTGAATTAATTCATTTACATACTCAATTTGTTCATTAGCTTCATTTAAATCAAAATAATCTGTATATTGTGGTAGAAACATTGCTGTATTAAGCGCAATAAAACGTAGCATTGTTTGTTGTTTAGTTTTTAATGCTTGAAAACGTATTGAATAATAACCACCTAAAATGAATCTATATAGCAACAATATCGGTTCTGATTAATTTCAATCAGTTTGTTTTTTTTCTCTTTATACAATTACCTTTTAAAAATGTTTGAAGTGCATTATCATCCTTTAATAATAAATTATATTTTGTTTGATTATAAAATTCTATAAAACGTGTTGATCGATTTGTCTTTAAGACAACATCATGGTTTCCTAAATATATATATCTATATATTTCTATTAATTACTTTAAAGAGATTAAAAATTTTACCTAAAACAGGAATAACAAGGGTTTTTGGAAAATACTTTCTTAATTCTTGAGAAAAATTTAAATAAATAGATATGACCGTATCACCATCAGGAGAGTAATGACTTGCTGCATCACTAAAAAATTAAACTTAAATAATTTTGAGAAAATAAATAAATTTTTACCCGAGCCATATAATAAAATCAATATTTGAATCAATTTTTTTCGCAGCAGATAATGCTGATATTACTAATTCATTTGGTGTATCACAATTAAAATGACCAAATTTTCGAATTATTTTTGTCATATTATTTAATGGTACATTATGACAACCAGTAGATGGGTCACCATCCTGTCGATAATGAACATCAACATGTGAATCAGTAAATATCCAAAAATGACCTAAACAAAAAAAAAATTGCAAATTAAATTACTATTTTAAAATTACAAATACCTTCGATTAATTTCTCTTCATTTCTTTTTGATTCAAATTTTATATAAAAAGTAATACAACAGACAAACAATAACCATATTAATAATGAATATCTTTTTAACCGTATATTGATGTTCATTATAATTTCATCACGGTTCCAATAATCTACCTTGAGCATTTATGTCTTTCTCTATACCAACAATCACTCTGGCACGAATAATAGGTTATCATCGTGTGTATTTATATTGATCAAGTTGACTGCATCTCCAAACGTTGACAACGTGACAGACATATATAGGTTGTTATTCACATATTTCTTTTCTTTTTAATATAAAAAGCATTGAATGTCATAGAAGAAAAAAAAAGTCACCTATGCACCTTTCATACAATTTTGCTATAGAACATGGTAAACACTCTGTACATAAAGCAGAACAGAGGACAGTACGTGCGATTCGTTTTTTTTTTAATAAAAAAAAATTCTTAAACAAAAATTTCTTTTCTTCTTTCAATTCAAAGAACAACAAATCAAATAAAATTTTATACAAAAATTTGATAATTTGTTTCCATTCGTTGAGAAATACAATTATTATAACGATTATTATCACAAATATTGATTTCGACATTTATGCATGTGATTGAGCTAATAGGAAACATCTTTCGACATTTTTTTTCTTTAATTCAATCGAGCATGAAATTAATTGGAGCAGACAATAAAAAGAATTCTGTTATTACGATGATATTGTTTTAAGAACTATAAATAACCAATAGGAAAACTATTTTGGATTTGCACTATAAACTATAGTTGTAACAAACTATCGTCAATCCTTCGTTTGATGCAATTAAATTAAAAATATTTTGAGTATAATTAAAAGAAATAAAATAATAATGTTATTCCAAATTAAAACTAGTAATTCTTGATGACGTCAATGAATCTTTTTTTGTTTATAATACTTCTCAGTAGATATTCTGAGATATGCAAAAAGTCCATTAACAAATCGACCCTTTATTAATCATAATCAATGTCATTTTAATAAGCTTTCGAAATCTTTTTTCTAATAAACTAATATTGTTGTATTTAAAAAACAGTAACCAACAACTTACACACATCATTGAATTTATCTTTATTATTTACTAGATTGTTGCTTAAAGCTAAACCAACTTTGATGATCTTCAGAATAAATGAATTAGTTTCCTGATATCATATCAGTAATGAGGTTATAATGGATGGACTCCATATGATAAGATTATCAAGGAATAGAAGCTTTAATATACAGTCTAGATGCCACTCTTACATATACTAGAAAATAATTTTTTCTATGATAATCGATTACGTTTCAGTCTCAAAATTGTTTTATATAGACAAAAAAAGTACAATGTTTTCTTATTATTCATAAACATATGTAAATGATTGCACTCTATTTATTTCATTCTATTTGTGAAAACAATTATAAGATACTAAATTTAGTTCTTGAATATAAGGTAGAGTTAACACACACTGATAAGTTAACTAATTAATAATAATATATAACAGATAAGAAAAATACAAAACACGAACATGGTGTGTTTAACATTTTTTTTGTACATTTGCATTGATGGCCAACATTTATGTTTGTAGATGCGACCTTTGATAAACTAGAATGCCACTATGGTCCGTTATTTATTCTTGACTAAAAATCCATATTGATTTATAATCAGTAAATGTCAAGGTCAAGTAATGAACACAAATGTAAACATATTTTTTAGCCGAAAACAAAGCATTCAAATATATTAAAATATCTTAGAAAATATATGAAATAATCAAAATTAATAAAATAAAAAATATTTTCATCTCAATCATCACAATATCTGAGATATATTCGTGTTATAATTAAATTCTGTATGATTGAAAGTGATTCTTTTATTTTTATAAATTATTGCAAAGATATGTTGTATTTTTTGTTAGTACCGTGTAATTATTGGAAGATTATCAAAAAGATTATGAAAAAAAGAAAAATAATTGTCATCATAATAATGAATGTTTTCATGTTTAACAATCTTCTCAATATTAAAGTAGATTTGCTTTCTTCATAGTGCATAAGCCTTTTTTTTTGAGCTTCTTAATAAGTATATCCTGAAGCATCGACAAGATTTGTATCATAATAATAATAACATTTGAGAACTACCAAGTTATTCTTTTATATTCAAATGATAATCACAATCTTGACATTATTATTCATTAGAATAAAAAACAACAATACAAATAACTCATAGTAAATCTTCGAAAGAAAAATTACTCAATCATCATTTATCATTTACGATTGAGGAAAAACGACTTAATTGTCGACATCAAAGCTTATTTATATATTCATTACATTACTCATTTATAACAAGTTACTCGTCACGATTGAGACTCACATATAGGAGAGTTCTACTCAAATGAGATACGTGCATATATATATATATATATATGTCGTGCCGAAATTATTGTACATCAAAGAGCCCTGCAGCAAAATTGGAATCATTAGAGGAAATTTTTTCAGAGTCAATGTCAGAATTAATAAGTAAAACAGTCAAGCGTTTTTTGCACTTATACAGTAATAAGTTTATGCTTGATATGTTAAGTAGTAACAAAAATATACTATACTTGATAAAGTCGTAACAAAAATTCAAAAGAAAGACAAAACGTCAGAGAAATATCATTTCGGGATCGTAGTCGAAAAAATTGACTCCGCAGGGTTTTACACATTGATTAAACAGGAAATCACGACCAATTGATTGATGATAATAGTACAAAGAAAGAAAAAAATATATACATCTATATAGTTATAGTTAATTTTTCATTTGAATCACGTTCATGCAATTTTATAATAATGAATAAATAATGTTGACATTACTGAGAATTAAGAGCTTCTCGACGTGCTTTTTTCAAGGTCTTATAGGATTTTATTATAAATTCTGACATTAGTTTGATCATGCAAGGCGAAAAATGAGAATAAGGGTTTAATTACAATGTATTGTATATTATCGAAAGATAAATTTCGACATTTGGAAAAAACACACATAAATTAATAAAAGAATAAGTTTCAAGAGCTTGTTGCTTTTTTAAATCATATCTTGTTGTCACTTTCTTATAATTATAATTTGATTAAGCTTCTTGTATAAACTTAAAATGTTCTTTTTTTAAATCAGCACAGTGGTTTCCATTTATTCAGGATTCATGTACAACTAGTTCTAAAATACAATAAAAATGAATAAATTAAATCAATTCAAGCTTTTGTACGCATCGATATAAGATGTGATATCAAAGATAGTCAATCTTTTTCATATATAAACAATTTTCATATACTAATTGTCAACTTGAATGTTATTTCAAATTAGAATACTACACTTTAAGGATTGATTCCATCGACCGTAAAACTCAATAGTCATTTGAAGTTAACGACAAAAATTTAAAATAATAATACAATGTAATTTTCAAGTTTTCTGCATAATTTCTATAGTACTTATTTATTCTTATAAAAATTAAATGTATATGGTATTGAAGTAAAAAATTAACTATAACTACATGCTTTGTTTATCGTATTATTATTCAATTGAATATCCAATAACTTCGATACGATATATTTATTAATAATATTTCAGACAGAATTATTATTAATTCATTTTCTTTTCTCATAACAAGAATAAATAATTATGATCATGTCAATTTTTGATAGAAATCATGATGATTATCTTAATTATTTTCAAATAACTAGTGTAAATACCGCTGTGAAAAAGGATAATACTCTCAATTTCAAAGAGTTCAATTTTATTGAAAGTAATTATTAACAACCAAATTCTATTTTCAGAAACTAGATAGCCAATGTATATTTCTTTTTTTTATTTTGACTAAATAGATTTAAATAAAATTTGTTATGTGTAATACAAATTATAATAGATTGGTTGATATTTTTTAATATTATAGATGGATTCTAAACATCACCAGTCATTCATTCAATATTTTTTACTAATGAATTGAAATTTTTCTTTGTATTATGATGTCGAAAGTGTTAAAAAATTTCTTCGTAATTAACTAAACTTAATCAAAAACATCTTTTTGTATTAGAGAAAAATTTTCAACTATGGCAAAATAACTCTAAACATAATAAGTTATGATGCTTCGAATTGTAATTATCAATATTACAGTCAATAAATATGAAAGATCGAAATAATACTAAAGACATATTAGTACATATTCCGATTTTGTCAATTATCTTTACGTAACCATATATACTTCAGATAAATTCAAAAATTCTGTAAATGAACATTTCATGAATATCACAAATAAAAATTGATTCGATGAGAAACTTTTATTTTCAAAATCTTTTTTCATTAATTCCATAATATTCTTAACCAAACATTGATAGAATTACAAACTTCATATAGCTTATATCCTAAAATAAAGACTATTCCAAATAATTAGATTGATCTTATAGGATAATGAATGGTGTAACCAGCAAAGAGTTGTAGGGGAAGAAGGTCGCTCAGCCCTTGACCATATCTGTAGAGAGAATGAAGACTCTCTAGTAGTGCTTCTAGAGAGAGAGTTCAAGTCCCTTTTGAGGAGAATCCAATGATTGGTGGCGGAGGAGTTCAAAACCTTCTATGGAGACTGAGCTCCATCTGATTACGTCATTAACTATAATATTCATTGATGTTACATTCCTACATAACAAATATATTTGAAACGTCGTAAAAAAAAAAGATTTAATCAATTCTGTCGTAATTTTTCGTACAAATTCCATCACTTTCAGTCGTTTATATTAACAACAGTGACTGATAGAAAATCAATCAATTATATACATAAAAATTTCAAAAAACATGAAAAAACAATCTATTGACTAAACATAGATTCTCAATCATTAAAAAATTAAATATAAACTAGTTTTTATTTTCAACTATCAATAAAATCTTTCATCTCTTTATATAAATACATTAAAAAATATTTTCATTTTATGTCTGTATACTATGAAATGTTGTTGTTAATTCTTTTAGTTAAATATTCTGTACAATAATAATTATAATTAATTATCAATGAAGAATATTCCATAAGAACTTGACGAATGTAGATTAACGATGTCTAAAATTCATTCAATAATAAATTTAAAAAAGAATTTCACTCAAGTAAAAATATACCTGAAATAAAATCTTGTTGTTCTCTTGTTCATATTCAAAAACTTGTTTTGGGATTAATTCACAACAATTTATCATTTCATATGCCATCAATAAACAACCTATCGCCATTGATAAAACAGATAAATCCATACAACGAATATCTAAATATTATACAACATGTTAAACTATCAATCATATTAAAACTAATCTTACCAGTTAAGCATAATACAATTAATTCATAAGTCAATGGTCGAAGACGATCTTTTATTAAATAATCCGACACATGTAATAGAATTGCTTCAACATAGTTGATTGGAGTTATTATATCAATATCCCAATCAAGTGTATTACATATCAAGTTTTCATTCGCCTAAATATTATTACAATGATAATTACTTAAGAACAAATACAAAATACTTACTATTAGTAAATTACTATTGAAAAGTGTTATATTCGAATAAGTAGAATGTTCATTTAGTTTTGTTGCCAAAGACAAACAAGCTATAAGTATTGATTCATTTATTTCATTTGTACAAATTGAATGAAGAAGTTTGTGAAGAATAGCATTAGCTCGAATGAAGATTTCATTAGATAAATGATTCTCTTGGACTAACTATTAATCAAAAATTATTTTAAAAAATATGAAAGAAAAATATGAATTGATGATTACCTTAAATAATCTTATTGATTGTTGAAACTTAATAGAAGAAGAAATATAAGATGGTGAATGATGATATTGAAGAAGTGTTTGAAGAATAATATTTGTTTCTTTTATTGAAGAAAGATGTTGTGGAGCAGCTTTGACTACATCATCATAATCATATTCAATATCACTACTTGAATAATAGTCAGATGTACAACAACTTGAAGTTGATATCATGTTCAATAATAACTGAACTATGTTCTCTCACTAGTTTATATATGATCATTCTCTTCTGTCTCTCTTTTTTTTCTGTCTGATAATGTGACAAAAGTGCGGTCATTTATTGATTTTATATTGTTGATCTTTATAGACGAAAATGAGGTGGTGATCTCCAATTCTTTGATGTTGAATCAAGTAGGACATGCTTTCAAGTCAACTGACGACTATCGCGATCAAGCGTAAAAGAAAAAAAATAGGAAAAGAACAGGCACTAATTTCATGTAATTATAGTCTTTTGACACGCATGCTTGTTTAATTCTGAAAAGAGAATGTATTCTAAACTTTTGACAACTATTTCTATTGAACTTTCAAGTGACATGATAAAGAAACATGATTAGAGAGAGAGAGAGAGAAAGAGAAAAAACAAACTCTTATATTTCGGTTAATGACAGCTGATGAACGTGATTTGTAACAAAAGGTAGAATAAAATATGTTTTTCTCCTCCTTGTTTTCTTCTTTCCTTATCATAGAGATATCCATTTGAACATAGTCTATGTTAATATCAAGGAAAAAAAAACAAGTGACAAGTGAACAATAAATGTATAAAAAGGTGATAACAACAATAGGATGAAATAGATGACAAGAAAAAGCGTACGTAAATCTATAAATTGACAATGAATGATAAAAGAAAAGTACTGTTAATATAGAAATAACTTTTTGTTTTTTTTATAGTGTTATAAACGGCAATTGATAGAAAGTGTTAAGTGTTTTTTTTTTTCGTCTTTTCTCATAGCAAACATTGTCATAATAATAATCTTAAAACTTGTAATTTAGTGGAATTTATATGCACAAGATCTATTCGTTTTTAAATTAATAGTCTTTTGGTCTCAAATTCTGGTTGAAGAATAGTTTGTGTAATTACTTTTTCTGAAATGAATTTTTATTATTTTACTACCATACTTGGATGCTTGCTGGAGGATACTGTAGACTATATGATGGTATAATATTACTAACAGATTATCGAATTGAATTTATACAAAAGTTGAAAGAAAATATGTGTGCAGAAAAAGTGTTGCATGTGCTTTTCAAATTTATATATTTGACATAGATGACAATGGATAAGTAACATCTTTAATGTCTATCAAGCACTCTAATGAGTAAGTCCAAAAGTACTGTTTTCAATATTTGTCTTTAAGCT